CAGGAGAAAATGAATATACTTACCAGTAATGTTAATGCTCACCCACAGCTCTTCTGGGAGGGTCTAAATCGTTGAAGCGTCCTCCTTTGTTTCCAGCTGGGAGCTGGGGCCTGTCAGTCCTGTCAGCCACGAGGACCTGATGTGGGCCACCCTTGGCCAAGTGTCCTTCAGATTCACACTTAAAGCAAGTGAGTGTGAGCTTCCTCTCTACTCCCTTGTCTATCTGTGGTTCTCGTCTGTGACACTGTCTACTGAACTGGCCCAGCTTTCCACAGTGGAAGCAATTCTGAACTCCTTTATTACCTTTGGGTGGCACTGCTTATGGTAAGACTTCCTTTTCCTGACACAGGCCCTAAACTGGCAGCAATAGCTGCCCCAGTAATTTTGGCCATTCTCTGGTCTGTTCTCTTCCCTCTAGATCCCAGTTGTTAAAAGAGGGAAAAATGTAAACAAATATATAAAAAATAATTTTGAACATTATAATCTTTTAAGTTAAGGTTAGAAATATTAATATAATTTCCAATCCAGAGATACATGTTCCAGTGCAGTTCTTATTTTCCATAAATGGTTTTGGTAAGAAGAATATTGTAAATGTGCATACAGTTCCACTATTCCTCCTCCATGCCACGATATCATGTTATTAGCATGAGCAGTTATAAATCCATTGCCATCCTTACTCTAACTTAAATTTTTTTTTTTTAGCCTTTAAATTTATTATTAATTTCAGTAAAACTTTACAGAGGCTTTGGATTTCCATTCATTCATTGTTGGCACATTTCTCCCCTCCCAAGCCTCCCCCCAGAACATCTACCCTCTCAGAAAAGTAAAAGAAAAATTCTTTCATTGTTTTGCAAACCTCCCCCAGGTCCACTCCACCATGTAGCCATTGCTCTAGACTCCTGTAATGATAGAAATACCTAATCACATGTCTCTTTTAAACAGTTTTCTCCCTCTGTTTCAGTGCAGTATACATTATTGAGCCCATCTTACTCAGTCTCTCCCCAACCCCAACGTCAGTCCTCTTTTACAACAGTGCAATATTTGTCCTTTTGTGACTGGGATATTTGTCCTTTTGTGACTGGGATATTTCAGTCAGCATAATGTTTTCCAGAGTCAACATTTTGAATAATACTGCATGAGTTCGTTGTATTTCAGTGCAGCAGAGTATTCCACCGTGTGAATATACCACAGTGTCTCTATCCATTCGTTTGTTGATGGGCATTTAGGTTGTTTCCAACTCCTTGCTATTGTGAACAATGCTTCAATAAACATGGGTGTGCATATATGTGCTTGGATGTCAGTTATAGTCTTTTGGGGGTATAGTCCCAGTAGTGGAATTGCTGGGTCAAATGGTATCTCTATTTGCAACTTTTTGAGAAAGTGCCATACCACCTTCCACAGTGGTTGCACCGTTATACACTGCCACCAACAGTGAATATGGGTTCCAGTTTCTCCACAACTTGGCCAGTATTTGTTGCTTGCTGTTCTGTTAAATTTTGGTATTTTGACTGGTTTGAGATGATATCTCATAGTTGTTTTAATTTTGCATCTCTCTTAGAGCTAGGGATTTTGAACTTTTCTTCATGTGCTTGTTAGCCATCTGAATGTTGACTTCGGTGAAGTACCTGTTCATATCCTGTGCCCATTTTTCTATTGGATTATTGATCTTTATATTGTGGTGCTCAAGTATTTCTTATATTCTTGATATAAGTCCCTTATCTGATATGTTATTACCAAATACTTTTTTCCAGTTGGTGGCTTTCCTTTTTACCCTGTTGGAGAATTTTTT